TGAACGACTTTGCCCTGCCTTCCCTACCATGACGAACTGCAACCTTTTGAGACTGAGCTGAAGCAAATCTTAAGTTGTTCCTGTCAGTTGTACTATTGTGGTCACAGATACACAAAAGTAACTAATACACAGGGCTGCTTATTTTCCCTAAAAGGGTATAATTGTGTGAGATGGGGACCCCGTGGTAGGAGCTATGAGAAGGCAGAGGCAACGGCAAATGCCAAGAGCTGGGGGACTGCGGGTAGGAACACGTGTACGTGGCACACGTGTAAGTGGCAGGCTACTTGGGCTAGGACACGGGAAGCAAGCCAGGCTGTGTGGCCTTCAGACCACAGGGAGGATGAGACTCTGAGTACCAGGAGGAGCTTGGAGGGTGTGGAAGTCAAGGACAGCTGATTCCCTGCTCCTAGAAAAACAGCCTCAGACACAGGCTACAAGCCCCAAATGTGCCGCTAGCTGACCAGGAATGATCCATCCTGACGTGGGACCTCCAGCTTTGGGTCCTGGCTGGATTGCTTCTGTAAGAGGTGACCCAGGTTTCCTGTCCCATCCTGAGAAGGGTCCAGAGAGTCTTGAAAGGGAATCTTCCAGCAGTGGGGACCTAAGAGAGGGGGAGTGGCTTCCACTCTCAGGGCCAGCACCAGTTCTGCCTGTTCCTACTCAACACCCCCAAACCCCCTCACTCCAGGGCTCAGTTCCTGCCTCGACCAAAGCCCAACCCACGTCTGGAAGGAGAGCAAGGCTAGAGTTTAAGCCCAGACCTAAAGCTGGATGAAGAAACTGGCTAAACCCAGGGCCCCTCCTGGCTGGTACTGTCTGAGGGTGTGTCTGCAAATATTTTGTAAATGATACACGGTTTAAGGAAGGTGGGAATCTCCCTGTGCCCAGCCTCTTCACCTGTGGTGATGCTCTCACCCAAAGATAAGAGGAATATAGGCGGGATGCAGCCATACATGTGTGCATACACCACCAGGCTCCCTTTTATAAGGCAGGCCCGCAGTTACTGGAAAGGAGCGAGCATTCCCACCTTGCAGCCTCTCTGTAGCCCTGAGGAACTGGAGAGAAGAGTTGTTTAGCAGCGGTGGCAAGAAATGAGTCACACCGTGCAGCAAACCCACGTGGGAGTTTATTGATGGGGAGATAGAGGCCCTTAGAACAAAGAGGCTGCTCTGGACTTTCAGCTAGAGTCTAGACACGAGGATCCTAGGCACGACCTGTTCATGTGGTGGTGGAAATGGAAGGGCACCTGAAGGAACAGTGACCCCCAGACCTGCGCCTGCTGTGTGGTGAGCCAGGTTGTCTGCTCTACCGGCTGGCATAGCCCTAGTCTTCACAGATAAATACAGACCCTGGACCCTTCTGCAGACCTCATACAGTCTCCACAGCGTTCTTCTTTTTTGTGTGTGATGCTGTGTGAATGGAACCTAGGTCTCTTTGCCTCACGTAAACACCAGACTACACCCTGCTACACCCAGCACCATTCACAGAGCAATGGTGTTTTCTTTTTTTGTCAACATTCTTATTTTGTAGCCCAGGCTGGCCTCAAACTCACAGCAACTCTTCTGCCTCAGCCTCCCTAGTGCTGAGATTGCAGGTGTAAACCATCATGCCCTGCACACAGAGTTCCTTTGGGAAATGCCCGGAAAAAATCAAATTAAATTAAATAACAAGAAAATTTAAAAGACCGGGCCTAAGTAGGTCATCCCACTAGCCTCCCTTAGACTTTCCCAGGGCCACCTGGAGGACGCCCAAGGCCTCAAGATGGGCTTGAGAAGCTGGGGAACACCTTTCAGAAATGGAATGTCCCAGACAGCTGCTGTGACGGAGTTCCTCACCCAGCCAGCAGTCACTTCAGCTAAGGAGTTGATCTCTGCAGTCACCTCCCCACCCCCACCAGGCCCAGCTGTTGTTTTGATGGTTTTGGGGCCAGGCAGATCCAAACCTCAGCCAAGGGCTTCCCAGGAGAGTCTTCATCTTCAACCTCTGGGGGTGGCCAGACTAGTTCCTGGCAGGAGGAGAAGGAAGCCGGCCTCATTCCAGAGGAAGCACTCCTGGGCAGTTTGGCGACCAGCTGACTCCGTCACTCTGTCTGCTCAGGAAAGGAATCAAAACTGGACACACATGAAGGTTGAAAATCCTGAGACACACAAGACACCCAATAGACCTGAGCCAGCCACACGCTGGGCTATGCTTGCAGCCACAAAATCAGCTCGATCCAGACCGTAGGCTAAGCTCTGGCTGTGCTGGTTACAGGCTGAGCCACACTGGTAAAATAGTGTGCTGGATCCTTTAAGAAATATTTAGGTCTGGGCATAATAACATATTCCTATAATTCCAGTACAGGAGAGGCAAAGGCAGGAGGATCATAAATTCTAGACCAGTCTGGATTACATAGATCCATAAAAGTTAAAAAATTTTAAAAAGTCTGTTATAACTAGATTCCAGGTAAATTATAATAAACATGTTTTAATATATTGCTAGGCTTATAAGAACATATATATCTCAAAAGCTCCACTACCCCCCCTAAATTAAACTTTACAAAACCCCAAACCAAAGAACCAGTTAGATGGCTCAGGGGGTTAAGGCACTTGCTACTAACTTTGACAACTTGAGTTCCTTCCTTCCTTCCTTGAGACCTCCAGCTCTTAAAGTTGTCCTTTGATTTACACACACACATTGTGCATATGCACTCCCATACAGGCGTGTACACACAGACGCACACATACAAGCACACACCTTTAATCCTAGCACTCCGGAGGAGGAGGCAGGCAGATCTCTCAGTTCAAGGCCAGCTAGCTTAGGCACGGCTACACAGAGAAATCCTGTCTTGAAAATAATAATAATAGGGGGCTGGAGAGATGGCTCAGTGGTTAAGAGCATTGCCTGCTCTTCCAAAGGTCCTGAGTTCAATTCCCGGCAACCACATGGTGGCTCACAACCATCTGGAATGAGGTCTGGTGCCCTCTTCTGATCTGCAGACATACACACAGACAGAATATTGTATACATAATAAATAAATAAATATTAAAAAAAAGAAAATAATAATAATAACAACACAAACAGTAAGAAGCAACCAGGATATTGAAGAGAACAGATAGAAAAGTGAGTTTCCTGAACACAGGGACGGACATACAGACATGC